TAACTTTGTATCCTGGTATGCTACTGAATTTCTGTATCAATTATAGTATTTTCTTCGTGGAGTTTTTTGGGTCTTCCAAGTAAAGTATCGTGTCATCTGCAAATAATGATAATTTAACTTCTTCTTTACCTATTCTTATTCCTTTTATTTCTCCCTCTTATCTAATGGCTCTAGCTAATGATTCCAGAACTATATTGCATAGGATGGGGTGATAGAGGACATCCTTGCCTTGTACCAGATCTGAGAGTAAAAGATTTCAGTTTTTCCCCATTTAGAATTATATTAGCTGTTGGGTTGTTATAGATGGCTTTTATCAAATTGAAGTAGAGGCCTTCTAGTCCAATTTTCTGTCGGACTTTGAACATGAATGAGTGTTGGACTTTGTCAAAAGCCTTTGCTGCATCAATTGAGATGATCATGTGGTTTTTAGATTTCATTCTATTGATACAGTGTATTACATTTATAGATTTTCAAATATTGAACCACCCTTGCATCCCTGGGATGAATCCTACCTGGTCATGTGTATGATCTCCTTGATGATTTGCTGTATTCTATTTGCTAGAATTTTATTGAGGATTTTTGCATCTATGTTCATGAAGGAGATTGGCCTGTAGTTCTCTTTTTTATTTGTGTCTTTCCCTGGTTTTGGTATCAGTATAATACTTGCCTCGAGGAATGATTTTGTGAGAACTGTTTCCTTCAATTTCATTGAAGAGTTTGAGGAGTGTAGAGATTATATCTTCTGTAAATTTCTTGTAGAATTCAGCTGTGAATCCACCAGGACCTGGACTTTGCTTTGTCGACAGGCTTTTTATTAAATTTTGTATTTCATTGGCTATTATTGGGTTAATGAGAATTGTTATATCTTCTTGATTCAGTTTTGGTAATTTGTACCTTTCTAAGAATCTGTCCATTTTGTCTGTGTCTTCCATTCTGTGAGAGTAAGGATTCTCAAAGTAGCTACTGATAATCTTCTGAATTTCCACTGGGTCTGTGGTGACTACACCCTTTTCATTCCTTATTGCTTGTATTTGTATTTTTTCTTTCCTGTTTTTGATGAGGTTGGCTAGGGGCTTATTAATTTTATTTAGTTTTTCAAAGAACCAGCATTTTGCTTTTTCAATTCTTTGAACTGTTTTCTTTGTCTCAATTGAATTAATTTCTGCTCTAATCTTTATGATTTCTTTCTATCTTTGGGCTCTGGGTTTGGTTTGCTCTTCCTTTCCTAGATGTTGGAGGTGCACCATTAGGGTTTTTACTTGTTTCCATTCTGTTTTCCTAATGTGTGAGTGTACAGCCATGAATATCCCTCTGAGAACTGCTTTCATCGCATCCCATAAATTTTGATAAGTGGTGGTTGAATTTTCATTGAATTATAGATAGTTTTAATTTCTTGTTTAATTTTAACTGTAGCCCACTGGTTGCTGAGGAGGGTGTTGTTTAATTTCCTTGTATTTAGGTGGCTTTTCTGGTTTCTTTTGTCATTTATTTCCATTTTCATTGCACTGCGGTCAGATAATGTGCATGGGATAATTTCTGTTTTCTTACATATACTTAAGCATGACCTATGGACCAGTATGTGGTCTATTTTAGAAAATGATCCATGTGCAGCTGAGAAAAATGTGTATTCAGCTGTGTTTGGGTGGAACACTCTGTATACGTCCACCAAGTCCATTTGTTTCAAGCTCTGGTTCA